AGAGAGAGAGAGAGAGAGAGAGAGAGAGAGAGAGAGAGAGAGAGGAATACAGAGAGAGAAAGAGAGAAGGGAAGTAGAGGGAGAGCGATATACACAGAGAGAAGAAGAGAGACAGACCGACGCGGTAAAGGGGGCAGGAGGTTGAATCGAGGTGGAAGAGGTAGAGGCGGGGGCAAGAGGGGACAGCGGGCGGTAGGGGACGCGCTATAATACTCGGTGGTGGTCCCATGCCACTACGTGACTTGTGTGCGGCTCTAAGCCGAGACATATCGCCGTCCCGGGGCCCCGTTTCTGCCACCTAAAGGAGCGCGGATATATCGCGCCGAGGCCATTATACCGGCTACCGTGCCGGACGGTTCGATCGGCCTTATTGAATTAGCTCTGCCCTCGCACGTTCCGCCGGTCTCGGGTTGGTCTCCCGATTGTTCGTCGCGCGAGTTATCTAAGCGCAATCCGTGCGACAGCAATGTATGGTGGCCAATCTAATCGGGTCACCTGTTCGCGAGAGCGCGGCTCTCTTCGACGTGCGCGCGCGTGCGAAAGAGAGATGGTGTTTTTTCTTTTTCCCCCGTCACAGATTTTTTCTTCATCGCGAGTCGTCGAACGTTTGCGCGTCATGTCGCGCTCGATGAAGTCGGCAAATACGACGCGATAACTTGATTTACAGCCTCACGCCGCTTTAAGTCAAGTTTTTCCCGAGACATTAATCGAGCTGTAAACCTCTAAATCTCGTGTTTTGAGAAGAAGAGGAAGAAACTCGCTCGAAATGCCAGCCTCGCTCGCAAACTCGCGTTCTCTACCTTGTCCTGGACGAACTGTTAATACATATATCGACGCCACTCCGGTGATTCACTGGAAAATATCTTGCGCGATATAAATCACAGACTTAACTCGAAGTCGACCCGTCACGAGTCCGTTCCTCGTGCTGAGCTGTCGAGATTTATTGATCGCGTCGGACGTTACTTTTTCGACGTGTTAAACATCGCGTCGCAAATCGAGGCTGTCACTTAGATGTTTCCTGACTCGCGACTCGAGCTCAGAGCACACTCTCTCGCAATCAAACGGCACGAAACATCCCGCTGGTTGCCGCCACAGATCGACTTTATCCGCTTTTGGCCTCTCCATTGATTACGTCTGCGAGTTTGGGCCGGTGGCACGGACTAAATGTGGCTACGGTAGTTAATAGGTACTTAATCGAGCCATTAATTAAGGCTCTCGAGGATCGCGGCTTTCGAAATAAGCCTTTTCGTGCGTGCATGCATATATTGGCGCGCACGCGTGATCGTATCTCCATACAGGATCATGCTGGTTGTCTGGTAATGATATCCCTACGATTTTTTTTCATTTCGCGTCCGTTCTTTCTTTCTACTTTATTGTTTTCTCTTCTTTTTGCGTTTGCCATTATATTTGTATTTATTCTCACATCATCTTACACTTATATTTGTGTAATTCTCTATATCTGTAATCTCGTAATTATTTTATTCAGCTAAACAAATGTCTCTTTAAAGGGTTTACCCATGGACTTTAATAAAAGCATCATCATCGTCATCATCATTATCTCACTCGATCGGTCTCTCTCTCTCTCTCTCTCTCTCTCTCTCTCATGTTCTCTCTGTCTCGCTCCTTCCCTTTCCGGCTCTCCGTCATTTGAAGGAGTCCACGTACACCGCGACCCGGCCATTATGCCAGCCACCGTGCTAGACGCTTCGATCGGCCTCATTGAATTAGTTCCCGCCCGTGGGCTCGTTTCTCGATTGTCCGGCGTAAACCGCAGAGGCCTGCCATTTTACCCGAGCAACCCGACCGACCGACCGACCAACTACGCGCGCGCGCGACCGGCATGCTGATTGACATTCCCGAGGGCGGTAATCGCGAGAATAAGAAATCCGTCCCAATGCCAGTCGCTCGCGTGACTCTCCCGACTGGGCGAGTATATCGAGCGATCTAAAGCTGAAATATTTAGGGATATATCTATGGTCTATTATAGACGTTACGTTCTCTAAGAATAACCCGCCTCTATCCCGAATTCAGAAGTCTCGATTCCCTTTCGGTTCCGTATCGCCGCGGTACTCGTCGACCTCAAATCAATCACTAATCCGCGCGACAGCGACATGCCTGATGAATATATAAACTCGCGTATGAATTAATTGGCTGGTACGGGGCGCGGAAGGAAAATAGCTTTCCGCGGACTTCATCTACGGATTCTTTCTCAAATCTTCGACAAAATCGATCTCTAATGTGTACGCCATACCGGACGTATCTCGGCTGTCTCGTTCGCAACTGGCGTTTCTTCTTTCTTCCCGCCAGTCAGAAGAAACTTGACGCTCGCTGCTGTCCTGGTGACTGTCGTGCTCATTGAACGTGTCCTGCGATTGTCAACAATTTGCGCGTTAGCGCAGCCCAAGGCCGCCGATGAAATTGGCCGTTTCCGTAGCTTCGCGAGAGTTCATTTTTACGTGATATCCCTCGCCGCGAACGGCCCACCGGTATTCCGAGGATTATCCCGTTTCACAGCGTCTACGACCTAAAGGCGACCCTAAGTACTGCCGAGGTGGACGCGCCGCGATCATTGAATCGGTCTTCCGGCTCTCTTAGCTTCGCGCGCCGCAGAATGCGTGTACCTGTTATTCGACCACGTTCGTGGTTCCACGATACGTGATCCACGAAACCTTCGTTGCGCTACGCGCACACGATCTCGTCGCTCCACTGCGCAAGTTTATATCCAGCGTAGCGAGCGTTTAACACGGCTGAGAGGAAAAGAGAGAAGGGAGGTTGGGAGCGAGAGAGCGCTGGCTTTTTATTGCAGGCGCAGAAAAATCGTTTGACGCGGAGAGTCGGAGAGAAGTTTCATACATAATTCAAGCCTGTATTCGAGCGGCATGCAGCGACGGCGATCAACGGCTCGGCTTATCGCATTTAATGACTCCATGGACAAAGCGCATCTTTTCCTTTCGAAAGTTTTATACCATTGCCAAAATTCTTGATACTTACACGCAGCTCGGGTGCGTTAATGGCCAACTCTAGCGCTCGCGAGATGTCTACGAAGGACACGTGGGACGGGCGGCCGCGATCGTTCCGCAGCGGGACCGCGGTGCCTACATAGAGAACGGCGGTTGGAGGGCGTGACGTTTGAGGGGGTCGATGTGTGTAGCCAGGGGTGAGAGAAGCGTGCGATGGGGTAGCTTCATTTTTAGGTCGTTATATCTCATTATTTTCCGGTCCCCATCACCATCGTGCACGTTTCGCCGAGAGCTATGATCGTTTGATCGGGGCGTTGTCCCTTTTTTTTTGTTCTTCCTTTTTTTCCCGCGGGTGACACACATGTGACGCGTTGCATTCGACTTGATGCCGGGCGTGCGGATGCGTCCACGCGAGGCGGAAAAATGGCCCACGCGCGAAAGGAAGGCCGCGACGTACGGCTAACCGGTTCCTCCGCTTATAGCGCGTCCTCCGAGCCTAATTATGTCAGCGTCGTCGACTATCCTACGGTCGTTCTTGCGAAAAGTTCTTGTATTCTCGTACACGCGGCTTCTAATTGAAATGTGACGCTCGCGAAAAAGGCACGGGAGTTGGTCGCTCTTACGCTGCTCGCATCGATAGTACCTCGATCGCGGATTCAAAGATATATATCGTCCCCTCTTCCCTCCCCACACCTCCCTCCCGAAAGGTGAAGCAAAAGTAGCTTTGTCTCTGAAGCAGCGAGTTTCGAGGCGCGATGAGTCCAAATAGACCGGGAAACAGAAATTGACGTTTTAGCGAAAATTATGCGATTTTGCTTACGTCATTCTCGAAATAAGCAGCTCTTAGGCTGCTCGGAATTCTTCGGGTGCTAACAAATCTGTGATCTCTCCGTCGAGTAGCTCCAAAGCTCCAAAGAAGTCTCGATCGGATCGAGCGTAAAGCTCGAGAGAAATTTCACGCCGGGAGTTTTCGCGAGATGGGTGCCCGTGCGCCCGCCCCGCCCCGCCCCGCCGTGTCTATTATCGGACAGAAAGTGGAAGGCGACGGGAGTCAATTTCCCGAGTGAATTTCTGCCGCGTATTATATCCGAGCAGCTATAATCTACTTCTCTTACTGGCGATAGTCTCCACCCACTCTCGGCTACTAGTCCATTAGCGGCGCCCTCGCTTAAACGTTTCCGCCGCTTAATTGCGCATAGCTAATTTTCCTCGTCACATTTCGTCCCTCTTTTGTTTCCAGGCGCAGCATCGCCGCCGTGGCCGTCCTCGTCGTCGTCGTCACCACCACTGTCCCCGGAGGAAAACATCGTGGCGTTTCGGTGACAATTCGATATTATCAACGCGGACGACTCGCTAGCTGAGTGTCAGACGGCAGACGTCGTCGCGTGGTGTTCCCCGCGAGTGATCGTGAATGATCTCAGTGGTGTGACTGTGTGGCTCAGTCAGTGTGTCGATGTGCCCGCGGCACAACCGTGAAGGAAACACCGGCCGCGGCAGCTAGACCACACGCGCATTACGATGGCCAGCGCGACGATGATGGGTCTGCGTCGCAGAGCGCCGGTGAACAACTCGCCGACTCCCTCGAGCCAGTCGCCGTCCACGGCCGGCACGTCGTCCAGCAAGCGCTCGAGAAGCGAGAACAACAACAGCCCGTCCCACGGCAATCTGAACTCGATGAACGGCGGGCCGCGAGACGAGCCGCCGGCGAAGAAGTCCCGCGGGACTTCGACGAGCGCAGCGAAGGGTAGCTCGTCATCTTGCCCCTCCGCGTCCCTCGCATCCACTACTTGCCCGATGTCCTCCTCTTCCGCCACCGCGTCCTCCTCTTCCTCGATCACGAGTACTCCGGTCGATAACCAGACCTCGAGGAGTCGCGGAACTTCCGTCTCGAGATCGGCCACTCAGACGAAGTCGTCGTCTACGTCGACTGCCGCCACCTCGGCAGCGACCGATATATCGAACGGTTCGGTGCTCTCCGCCAACAGCTGGCCGACCACGTCGGACGTGGCGTCCTACGCTTCCGTGACCGGGCTGGGCATGACGGGTGGACAGACGGCTGGCCTCTGCGCCGGAAGCCTCGGCATGCCTCCTACACCGATACCCTACATGGCGACCTCCATGGCGACCTTTGTCGGCAACGCCACGAATCTCAGCAAGAGCTCGTCCGTCTCGTACCTCGACATCTCCAACATGACCGGCGGCTCCTTGGCGTCCGCGAACTCTCTGAACGGCGGCGGATACCCCGGCAACGGCGCCGCGGTAGACACGAAGAACGGTATGGCCATGCCTTACTCGGGGATACCGCCCTCGAGCGTGAACAATGGCAATGTCAGCGGCAGCGGCGGCGTTGCTTCTTACGGAGGCATGCCGAAAGGACAAGCGCCGAGTGGTGGCGCCGACGGTAACTCCTCGGCGAGGAAGTTCCAAAACGACACAATGTTCAACGCTTATCAGCCGTGGGTGATCAAGACGTACGGCGATCTGGCCAAGACGAAGACGATCACGATCAAGAAGTACGCGCGCATTCTCAGGACGTTGCGGGGCGAGGAGGTGAACAGCGCGGAGAACAGCAAGTTTCGCTTCTGGGTCAAGAGCAAGGGTTTCCACATTGGCCAGCCGGAAGGTTACGACGCGAAACCGGCCGACAGGATTATCGGACGTCACGCCGTCACGAACCCGGGATTGGATCCGCCGCTCTACGTGCCCACGCAGCTGCCGCACAACAAGGTGAGAGTACGTCCAAGCGGATTATCCTTCCTCGTAATCACGAGAGGCGATGCGACGCCTCGTATCTTTCTCTCCGTTGCGCGCACCGAGCTGGAATCGCTCGCGAAAGGGAACGTGATTAATTTAGCGAATGTTTGCAAAAGTCGCCTCTCCGAGATAAACACGTTGATACGTGTCGGAGATTTTGATCTGCAAACGAGACAGATAAATTGTGCGGAAATATCGTGAAAATTGCACGGTCGACTTTGCCTATTTACGAAGATACGTTAAGTATTTATTGCATAGGGAAAGGGAGGCAGATCTCAAGCACTGGCATTTTTATACGTTTCTATTTTTAATCGTGTCGCTGACGCCGTTAGATGAGGTTGGGATTTGCATTAACGCATTTGACGGTTTAACGCCTACACTTCTCATCGTACTTTTGTGAATTGGGTAGAATTTATTATCACCCTGGTGTTCAGTCAGCTCTTGAAATTTACACTAAATCATATCAGGTGGGATGCTAGAATCAGATTGTACAATACTAGTCACATAATAAAATCAGTGTAGCGAACCAATAGCGCAAGCAATATTAGAAGCTTAACGGTTATCCTATATATAGAATGAAAATAAATAATACCTTGATGAAAACAAAGTTCATCTCAAGACAAAACAAAAAAAAAATACGTATACTATTTACGTATACAAGAAACCCGTACTGGGCAACTAAATCCGATACCAGGGCAAAATGGCTCTGTTGGTGCATTTGTTCGTATTTTGCTTATTACAGAACAAAATATATGATCAACAAGGTCATAGCGGGCATTAATACATAGAAGAAGATTGCCTCTATCATATTTACACAGTTAGTCACAATAATTAGTCCTCTGAGAAGTTATAACTTCGAAATTCTAACATGTAGAACATCTAGCCCCGATTTCCCCAGAGAAAAAGACATAGTGATGGCAACTATATAGGTGATAATTATAAGATTTTTGTATGTAGAATTTATATATATATATATATATATATATATATATATATATATATATATAACAGTACAGTTGTGTACGGCTCAACCGCCGAATACCGATGTAGCGCATTCGATCTATTTCTAAAAAAACAAATCATAGCTATACACATACACAAATATATAATATACATACATGTATAGGTAGACATTCTCATCACACTCATCTTTATAGTCTCATCATAGTTTTATTACAGTCACACCACAGTTTCATTGGAATCTCATGCGAGTCTCATCAATGACATTGTAGTACGTATGACTCCGATGAGACTACGATGAGATTGTGATGTTATCACTGTCTCATCATAGTCACGTCTCAGTCTCATCACAGTTTCGTTGGAATCTCGTAAGAGTCTCATCGATGAAATAGTGGTAAGTTTCCGATGAGACTACGATATTATCACTGTCTGATCACGGTCACGTCATAGTCTCATCACAGTTTCCTTATCGTTTCCACGCAGCCTTATTATAGTTCCATCATTATAGTTATCATTATAGTTTCATTGGAGTCTCATGAGAGTCTCATGGATGAGATAGTGGTAAGACTCTGATGAGATATGATTGTGATATTATCACAGTCTCCGCACAGTCTTCTCACAATTTTACTTCAGTCTCATCACATCGGAATCTCATGGAAGTCTCATCGATGAGATTATAGTAAAATTCTGATGAAACTCCGACGAGACTGTGATACTATCACTGTCTCATCACAGTCACATCACAATCTCATTGTCATCTCATGTGTCAGAGAATCTTTTCAGAGTCTCATCGTAGTCTTCTCGCAGATTTCTCATAGTCTTATTACAGTCTCGTCTGAGTCTCATCGATGTTTTATCAAAGTCTCGTTGGTGCCCATTGATGAAATTGTGGTAAGACTCCAATGAGATTCCGATGAGACAGAAATGAAAGAAAAGTAGTATAATGAAAAAAGTAGTATAAAAGAGAAGTATAACGGGAGGGGAAAAGAGAGAAAAAGAAAGATTATAGTAATTTCGTTATATGCCAACCATACGCGGAACGGTAACAACGTTGCGAATAACGGTCGTACATTCAACCCTGTACATTCCGCTTTTAGTTCCTTATTCCTAGAAAATTGACTTTCGGCCTTTTATTCGCACAGATTGGCCGTTTCGCGCGCGGAGAGCCCACCGCGGCTCACTGAAATGCGGGCTTTACGGATCGGTGAATTTATCTCCACGGCGAGTAGAAAAACCGCGAGAAATCTCGGGCGCGGCGCGCTCGACAGAGTGCGAGCAAGAGAAAGAGAGAGAGAGAGAGAGAGAGAGAGAGAGAGAAAGAGAGAGAGAGAG